CTCCACACTCCCAATTTATTCAGGAGGTCTTGTCTTTTTTCCCTTCCTGTGGATCCATGTATGTCTCTCTTAGGGTCCTCTTTGCTACCTAGGTCTCTGGGGTTGTGGCCTGGAGGCTGGTTGTGTTTTGCTTTATGTCTATTATCTACTAATGAGTGAGTGCATATTATATTTGTCTTTCTGGGTCTGGGTTACCTCGCTCAGGATGGCTTTTCTTAGTTCCGTCCATTTGCCTGCAAATTTCAAGATGTCATTGGTTTTTTACCTTTGATTAGTATTCTATTGTGTAAATGCCCCACATTTTCCCTATCCATTCTTTGGTTGAGGAGCATCTAGGTTGTTTCTAGGTTCTGGCTATTACAAATAATGCTGCTATGAACACAGTTGAGCAAATGTCCTTATGGTATGAGTGTACATTCTTTGGGTATATGCCTAAGAGTGGTATTTATGGGTAGATAAATACCCATATTTTGGAGGTAGATTGATTCCTAATTTTCTGAGAAACTGCCGTATTGATTTCCATAGCAGCTGTACAAGATTGCACTCCCACCAGCAATGCAGGAGTGTTCCCTTCACCCCACAACCTCTCCAACATAAGTTGTCATCAGTGTTTTTGATCTTGGCCATTCTTGCAGCTGTAAGATGGAATCTCAGAATTGTTTTGATTTGCGTTTCTCTGATGACTAAGTGTCTTTTGGCCATTTTAGATTCTTCTGTTGAGAGTTCTCTGTTTAGGTCTGTACTTCATTTTTTTTTTATCGGATTATTTGTTCTTTTGATGACCAATTTCTTGAGTTCTTTGTATATTTTGGAGATCAGACCTTTGTCTGATGTGGAGTTGGTGAAGATCTTTTCCCATTCTGTAGGCTGTTGTTTTGTCTTGTTGACCATGTCCTTTGCTTAACAGAAGGTTTTCAGTTTTAGGAGGTCCCATTTATTAATTGTTTCTCTCAGTGTCTGTGCTGCTGGGGTTCTATTTAGGAAGTGGTCTCCTGTGCCAATGCATTCAAGTGTATTTCTCACTTTCTCTTCTATAAGGTTCAGTGTGACTGGCTTTATGTTGAGATCTTTGATTCATTTGGACTTGAGTTTTGTGCATGGTGATAGATATGGGTCTAATTTCATTCTTCTACATGTTGATATCCAGTTATGCCAGCACCATTTGTTGAATATGCTTTCTCTTTCCGATTTTATATTTTTTGCTTCTTTGTCAAAAATCAGGTGTTCGTAGGTGTGTGGATTAATATCTGGCAAAATAGCCAGCTACTGGCTCTTACCTCGACCTCAGTCTGAAATGGCGATCCTGCCTCCCGGAATCTCAGAATGAGACTGTGTGTTGAGAGCTGTTTCCTCCCATTTTATAATCTTCCTTAGGACTGGGACTAAAGGCGTGCACCACCAT